ATAGTTACCTCGCCTACACTTCCCGTTGGGGGTCGTAGAAGTCCATTGAACAAATACATATTTAAGTACATATGTATGAGACTGGACAGCAGCATTTTCTGATAAACCTCATTCTTGCAAACTGTGGTCTCTGACTCTCTTGTCAATCGTGTTATCTACACGATTGACAAGAGAGTCATGGCCTTATTAGACCACCCAATTTCGAGGGACCCTAACCCTAACTAAGAGTGGTGTAATAAGACTTAGGGAGTTAGAGTCCCGATTAAGGGCGATCGGCTACTTTTTCACCCAGATCTTTCTCTTCTTTTTTTTTAATATTCGTCATCGCGAGCACGGTTGTCACTGCTACAGCAACTTCTTAAAGTTTCAAAACTGACGACAACATAATGTAAAATGTGACAATACGAATATCGATCTCTAGACATTCGCGTATAAACTAAGTTAGAGCCCAATTCGCAGAAAAGTGTAATAAGCGCCGCACTACTAGAGTACACGCCCACCCTGGATGCAGGGCCCTTCATATCGGGTTGTGTAATAAGCGCTGCCAAACCCCACCTTTTGTGAAGGAAGCCCATCATAGTCCAGCAGTGGACTACAAAGTACAAAGTAAAACTTATACACGTTCATCTTTAAATTACTAGACGAGGGCCGGTATTTCCTAACTGACTACTCTGAAAAGAAACGCCGAAACAAACTCAGAGGTCATTGTCTCTTAGCAGAATAGAATCAAAACAATAATTAATTTTCATTATCAATTTATTAAATCTTTTTACTGGAAGGCACTTTCAAATGTTTTACATTTCACTGAATATCTCAGTAACACAAATTAATTACAAAATAAAGTACAATACACGCTAAAGTCAGTTTCGATAACCTCTAAATTTATAGATTTGTTTACTAGACAATAATACATACTCAATTATATAAAGCTGAAGTTTATGCGCGCCATAGAGTACTATTTTATAGGATGGAATAGAGAGCCCTCTTGTTAGATTTTTTGGTAACCTCACTCACACGACGAAACATACTCTTGCATTGTGTTTCGTTGTGAGTGAGGTTATCCGAGGACCAATTACCCCCCCCCCCTCTCCCCCAATCTCTAACAATCCTCAAATGCCTGTGTAATGTACGTGTAACGCCTCTGGTGTTCCAGGTGTCCATGGTTGACGCCGATTGCTTACCATCAGGTGATCCGTCTGCTCGTTTACCGGCTTATACCATAAAAAAACAACTGTCTAAAATTTAAGATATATTTCCGTGTTGAATACTCTATCATAGGCTATAAACGAACGGAACGTTGGCAACACTGGCCAGGTAAACAAGTAACTCCGTGATTCAAATGTAAAATAATTATTAAATTACTGTCTTTTTAACCTAGTCTGAGTTAAAAGTATGTGAATATGTACAACAGTGCCTGTGTAACGCTTGTGACAAAAACTTTGTGATAACTCTTCAAAAATACCCAAATATTGTGACTGTGCTGTTCTTGCAGAAAAATCCATCACCAGCTGTGGAATTTGTGAAAGTGAAAGTGTAACATCTAAATAATATTACATGTGGTGTACCAGTAATATCTAGTAGCCATATATGATCTAAAAGAACAAATTTTTATAAGACAACAAAAATTTGCGCAAATTAACAGTTTTTAAAATAAAATAGACGGTATATAAACAAAACAAGACAGTACTGACAACTTTCCCAGACTAAAATAAAAACTTCCATAGACAACGTGATTGAATGAACGAAAACTATTTCACTCTGTTACACGGTGCTTTTTTTTATTAGTCTGAAAATACATTCTCAACCTACTCAAAAATCTTGGTGTTGTCATACTAAAACAGAAAAACCTAGAATAATAGAATATTTTCCAAAATGAGTTTAAACGAGAATATTACCTTTCGTCGAGTACGGACACAATCAGACTCAAATCCAAAAAAATCGTACAATGATTCGGAGACTGATATAGATGTGACAGTGTGCAGTATGCCCGACATATCTGACGACGAAGAAGATCAAATTAAAGTATTAAAAAACAAACTGGAAACGCAGGCGCTTCAATTGATAAGTGCCCACAACGAAATCGAAGCACTTACATTAGAAATATCAGACTTGAAACGTGTAAATAATGAACTTATGATTAAAAATGACTTACTTAAAAAAATCACAAACAGTCCTGCTAAACAAAAACATACGACACCCAAGAAGACATCCCTCTCTCAAAAGAAAAACAAACAAACACAAACAGAAAAAAATAGAACAATTTCTGAAGATGCAACCCCGCAACTACATACAGAGACCCAGACGGCGAGCCAGCCTGAGGTGAATATAACCAAAAGCTGTCCCAACACAATCGCGCAACCACAGTCTTACCATACGAAACCCTTAGAACCATACAGATCGAACAAGATGTGTATCCTGAGCATGAATAAATATAACAGAGTTTTATCCATAGCCGAAGAAATGATAAACAAACAATTCGATCTATGTCATTACTTAAATACTGATGGAAACATAAGTAGCCTTTTGAATGGGATAGACAGCAAACTTTCTGACTTTACAGTAGATGATTTTTGTATTATCTTTATAGGTGAAAATGACTTCATAGTTAGTAAAAACTATGCAAAACTTGTTTTGGATATTAGAAATACACTCAGCCAAATAGTGCACACAAACATTGTGATCTGTCTGCCGACATATAAATATAACTCACATTGTAACATGTATAACTGGAGAGTTAGAAGCTTTAATAATTTACTATATCAAGATGTAATAACTCACAAATATGCTTTTGTTTTAGACTCCAACTCAAACATTTCTTACGACTATAACACATTTTATCGACACTCTGGACAACTGAATAACTTTGGATTTCGTACTATTTTTGTAGACTTACTTTCTCTTGTTACTAGCATAAGCATGCATGACAACAAAATGAATACAAACAGTAATTTAAAAATATTGACAGAACATAAACCTACAAATAATATCGTAATGAATAATTGGCTTTTTCGTTGAGAATCATTTATATGTCATGCATCAAAACATCGCAGGATTATTGAATAAGGTAGAATCGTTATGTATCTGTTTAGACGAACTTTTAGATAAAAATATTAATGTTGACATTCTATGTATAACGGAACATTTTATGATGTTAGGCTACGAAAGTCATTTAACAATACCTAACTATACTTTAGTGTCATCATTCTGTAGAAATGACAATAAACGCGGTGGGACATGTATTTTAATTAAAAATGGACATCAATGGCGTAATTTACTGCACATTAACGATTTGTCTATAGCGGGTGTGGTTGAATGTTGCGGTGCGGAACTTATCCAATACCAAATAGCCATTTTGTGTTTCTACAGAATACCAAACAACAGAATCAGTAATTTCGAGTTATTTTTTGAAATTTTAGAAAAAGCATTACAAAGTATATGTAGAAAAAAATATAAAAATGTTATACTAGCAGGTGACTTTAACATTAACGTTCTGGAACGAAATAGAATTACCCTAGAATTTGAAAACATGCTACTAAACTTTGACTTAAAATTAGCTTTTAAACAACCCACAAGGACCCAAAAACAAACATGCATAGACAATATAGCACATAATTTTAAATCTTCGTGCGAAACAGATGTTGTGGAGTTCGCATTATCTGACCATACGGCCCAAATACTAAAAATTCCCGTGAAAAAAACATGTATTTTAAAATATTGGCGTATAAAACGACGGGACTACAACATTGAAAATATGACTAAGTTTAATGAATATCTGAAACAACTGACTTTCTCTGATCTATACGACACAAGTGATCCAAACAAAGCATATGACATTTTTATTGACTACTTTAAATTATTTTATGATTTGTGTTTTCCACACAAAATAATTAATGTTAACTTAACAAAAAAGCCAAGATGGATGTCGCGAGGCATTAAATTGTGCAGTAAGAGAAAACGACAGCTATTATGGCGCTACAGACTAAACCCTACATATTGCAACAGGGAAATTTTCAAAACCTACTCAAAGAAACTTAAAAAAATTGTCACATTAACTAGACGTGTTCAACATAATCATTCCATTAGAACCTCAACTAATAAATCTAAAACTACTTGGAGTATAATAAATAATACAAAATGTAACATCCCTAAAGAAACCATTAATAAAATTAATGTAAATAATGTAACAATTAGTGACCCCCTTGATATAGCCAACGCATTTAATAGTTATTTTGTGGAAAAGATCAAACCCATTCAAGGGTCCGGGCAAAATGTAAAATCTCTCATCAAAAGCAGTAAAGATTCAATCTTTGTCGCACCATCTACACCGATAGATGTAAATAAGATTATAAAAAACTTAAAATCATCAAATAGTGTAGGTTATGATGAAATCTCTACAAAAGTCATAAAATATGTCTCAGAAACCATAGATGTCCACCTAAGCTACCTTATCAACTTGTGTATAAGCTCAGGTATATACCCAGATGCCTTGAAGATATCAGTGGTAAAACCAATATTTAAAAGGAAAAATAGCAGAGAAGATAGGGAGAACTATAGACCAATATCCCTTATTCCTATCATATCCAAAATAGTCGAAAAATACATATATAAAGAACTTTATTCCTTTATAGAAAAAAAACAAATCCTATGCAACGAACAGAAGGGTTTCAGGGAAAATAAGACTATAAATATGGCCATCTATGATTTTTTAAGCAAAATAATGGTTAGCGTCGACAAGAAAATCCCGGTATCGGCTGTGTTTTGTGACATGACACAAGCTTTTGACTACGTTGATCACAGAATCCTATTGCAGAAACTGGAGGCTTACGGAATACGCGGAAATATTTTGAATCTTATTCAATCGTATGTAAGCAATAGAAAACAATACACAGAAATTACTAGGATTAATGTAAAAACAAAAAAAGAGGAAATTTTCGTATCAGACGAACTCTCTCCTCTATACGGTGTCCCACAGGGCAGTGTATTAGGGCCATTGTTATTTATTTTATATATAAATGACCTGCCTAAAATTATTGACTACCCTATAACTCTATTTGCCGATGACAGTACAATGACCATAGAATGTAAAAATATTTTGACATATGAATCTGACATTAATAACTCCTTGACATCAATAATAACTTGGTTAGATAGAAACAATTTAAAAATTAATTTGAATAAGACAAACATTATCCATTTCAGCCAACGAGACCAATCTAAATCAAATGTAAATGTTGCCTACAATGACACAATAATCAATGAAGTTGAATCCACAAAATTTCTTGGTATAATAATTGACAAGAAATTGAATTGGAAACATCACATTGAGAATTTAAGCAAGAGACTAAACTCATCTGCGTATGCACTATACAAACTTGCACCAGTGCTTAATCCAGACGCTCTAGTGACAGCGTATTATGGATTGGCTGCATCAGTGTTGCGTTACGGTGTAATTTTCTGGGGTAATTCTACAGACAAAGAAATTGCATTCAAGTCCCAAAAAAGATGTCTTAGGGCCATGTTTAACCTAAAGTCAACAGAGAGCTGTATGCCTATCTTTAAAAAATATAAAATACTAACTCTACCATCTCTTTATATTCTTGAAACTGCGACTTTCGTAAAAACGAATCCTGATCTTTTCCCACGTCTGTCTGACACTGTGCCTCGGAATAGACGGGATAACAGCAGACTTCGCCTGAAACCCGCTAGGACTGCTCTTATGCACAAAAACGTTTTTTGTATGGCGCCAATAATTTATAATAAAATTCCACGGGATTATAAATGTTTAAACACCAATATGTTTAAGATAAAAATGAGACGCTTACTAGCAGAAAAGTGTTACTACTGTTTGAATGACTTTCTGGCTGACACTACTTTTTGACACTGTATAAATAAATGTAGACCGTAATAATATTTAATAATACTTTTTTGACATCTTAATATGAATTGTAATTATTATAAATTGAATTTGTACGCCCCTAAGGGCAAAACATGTATTGGACACTGATTTTAAACAATTAACATCTTGCATGCTTTTGTATGAATGACACATGTTTATGCAAATAAATTATCTTTATCTTTATCTTTATCTAAAACACCAAGCTACGACGAATAGGAGCCGAGCAGTAAGTAAATCCCTGCGAGCTAGTTTCTATATGCTTCAAGTAAAATGTATCAAATTGTAACCATAGTAAACAATTCTACACATTTATAAGTTAATAAAGCTAATTACAAACCTCCATCTTTCCAAATAGTCGGTTAAAACATAGCCTTAGTAACAAAATCAACTAAAATAAACGAAGACATTATTATGATTTATTAATAATAATAACAAAAGCAGCTATTTTAATAACTCCTTCACAACTTAGTAACAATAGTGTTACTTACAAATATTTTTATAAAATTCAATTATTGTCTTATGTAAATACGTTAAAATCTTTAATAATTAAAATATTATAGCTTAATATTATTTTTTATTGGAAGGAATGATTGTGTGCGCACGCGCAGAGCACCGAACCACATACTATCTTACATACTGGCTTTAGTACTTAAAATAGTTAATTATTTAGTAGTTTTCAGTCAAATTGGACTAAAAAGGTACAACTGGATGTTTTATACATAAAATTACGTCTTAGGTAATTATATGTATTTCAGTACAGTAAGTTTGTAAATAGGATATTTTATTAATATATTAAAAGTTAGTCTTAGTCCAATTTTTCTCAAAACTACTGTATTATAAAATAATATTATCATCATAACATCACGCCTTTCGACTCCTAGAAAGGGAAGGCAGAAGTGGACAGCGCACATATTAAAAATAACATCCAATTTTCGCCAGTCATTTAGGAATGATGACTACGATTCATCAGTCATCAGGTAGAATAATATTCAATAATCGTCGTTTCTAAAAACGACTTCAACCTTCTTAATAAATTCTTTTAGTATACTAAAACCTGCTCTTAGGTGTAAACAAACACTTCTTACAATCACATCGAAATAGTTTAAGCTAGTCGCGAGACAATGGCGGACATACATACGTACACGTCCAATTCAGAACTTCTTCTTTTTCAAAAGGTCAAAAAATGACGGCTATATAATAATTTAGTGTATTTTTCTGCCACTATTGGGTTTTTTGTCAACTTAAGTCGTAAGTCACTGGACCACATACACTAAATTACTTCAAAAACTCATTAGACAAGCCATTTAAGGTTTTTCCTCCATACATTGTGAAGATGTAAAAATCCACATTAACATCATGCCTACTAAAAGAGTTACGCATGGCAAATGGTCACGAAAATCAGCTTTCGCTTCAAAATGTCCAAAAAGACTGAACTAAATAAAGTTTCACAAGAAAATCTATTAAAAGAAACCACAACTTTTGGTCGAAAATGTTACCTTAGCGTTCACCATTCAGTAAATAAGGTATAACATCATCGATGCTGACGTCTCCCACAAAGCCTACGAAGAATACATCTTCCAGGAACGGTCCGGAAAAGGTCCTTAGGACTGGAAGCTGGAGTAGCAGGGTGGCTAACCGGTCCTCATCCTGACAGGTGGCTCGGAGGGAACGGAGCACTTTGATTTGGTAGTCTTGCAGCTTACGGGTTAAAAACTCTGGTACACCATCTGGAAATGAATGTTTGGGGTTATTTATGTGCCGTATTGTAGTTTTACACTATTGACTATGTTTTTTTTTAAGAGGGGAAAATCATCGTTTGGCCGCTCCGATGGAGTCAGACTCTTACTGACTAAAAACAACCCCGTTCCTACTCCTGCACTTCGAGCCTTATTATGTCTTTACATTATTCTCACATGTGTGTACAATATTGGAATATGTATCAGAGCAATGTAAAACAGACTTTTTTTTTAAAAGAGTAATGAAGGGAGTTTCTTGCTCGTTCTTCTCCACTCGAATCGCCATTTTGGAACGAGCGCCTAGCTTCACTGACGGACAGACTGACAGACTATTATATATTTCATATTTGTTGACGTTTCAAAAGTACCAAATTATGGTTTAATTGAAATAAATGCTTTTGAGTTTGAGGTTATAGTGTCTCAGATTTTTTAATGGATACATTTTGATTTTGCTTATTTGTTGATTTATAAATAGGTATAACGTATTGACTACAATAATCCATTAATTACCTATTTATTGACATCAATTTATTATGATTTATTATGCATTAATTAGTCTTCCTCATCTGACATTTTGACGAACAATATTGACATGTAATTTATTAAAACACAACAAATTCATATTTACTTACCGAACTAATTAATGGACTTACTGATTTAAACTCTTAAACGATTATTTGTATGCTTAAAATGGGCTGATCATAGCGCACTTTAATCTAAAAATGACCAACCAAATGTATCACAAATAAATGTTTGGTTTCATTTCATATCCACCAGGACCGCGGGCAAAGTCGCTGACAGAAGCTAGTATTATAAATGTGAATGTTTGTGTCTCAATCACGTCAAAACGGCTGAAGGGATTCGGATTTAAATTAGGAACAGGGCTAGAGTAAAAACATACATACATAACTTCACGCCTGTCTCCCATGGCGGTAGGCAGCGACTATGGAACGCCAATTACTACGATTCTTAACACACCTCTTTTGCTTTATCAACAGTCATCAATCTTTTCATGCATGCTCGTCGGTTAAGGATAGGCTACTCTCATTCATACCATGGGAACGTGGGTGAAGCCAATAGGGTAGATGACTGATTTTTATTTTAATGTCCGTCTGGTAGATTATTTAAAAACATTACACACGTATTTTTAATTTTTTACGGAAACGAATAGTTTCGAAGTTATATATTGATTTGAAATGTCGCGTGACGTCACTCCTAAGTACATTTTATACGTCGAAATGAAGTTTTAGTCCCCACTCCTAAACTTTGATTCGTTACATCTAAATATCATTTTATTATACAACAAAATAAAAAAAAAATACTTGTCTAATATTTTTTCATTACCTAACTGACGGACTAATTACATTTTTTATTTTTATACCTTGTCATCATCACTATTGCAGAAGCTGTTAGTAATATATAATTATATATTTATAAAAGTAGATATTTAAAAAGTAGATATAATTACCGGGTGAGAACAGACACAGAGCGCGTAGATGCGCGTGTTCCCTCTGCTGCAGCCGCAGTTGTTCCATGTGCGACAGGAACTGCTGCAGCCGCGACAGACTCACGGACACCTCCGCCACGCGCTCGTCCGAGTAGTCGCTCGCCGATATCTGGGGGGTCACGAAACAAGTGTCATAATTATACTTTTGCAAATAATTACAAAATACTCAAATCGTAATTATCTTTTTGGCGATAGTTCAGCAGTTAGTAGTAGCACGGAGTCTGGAAATGTGCCCGGTATCATCAGGTAGGCTCACCTCCTCACATAAATAGTGAAAAGTGGGTGTCACATTGTACAGTGGCATTAAGTGCCGAAATGTGCACCTCTACCTACCCCTTCGGGGATAAAAAGGCGTGATGTTATACTTATACTTCAGCAGTCAAGCTGAACTACGAATCTATATAAATAAAAATGAATTATCGTTCGTACGTCTCACTAAAATACGAAAACGGTTGAATCGATTTGGCAATTTTTTGTCTTGAAATGTACGGAGGCGGTACGTTTGTCGAGATAGCTAGTAATAAAGATTTTAAACAAAGATAGACTAGTTAGATTTTCTGTAAAATTGCATAAGTTATGTTGAAACGAAACAATATTTATTTCAAAAATATATTTGTTATCTGTCTAATCCAAAAGGAGACTAAAGCAAACTCTTCAAGTAGAAATAAAGTAGACATGCGCCAGAAGATACCTCGGGCACGGCGTGGTCGTGCGGGCGGTGCAGGCCGTCGCCGGCGGCGCGCGCGCGCAGCTCGGCCTGCAGGTGGCCCACCAGCTGCGGCAGCAGCGCGCCCAGCGACAGCTGCACCGAGAACATCGACAGGCTCAGCACGAACAGCTCCGGCCAACACTTCTTCAGCAAGGTCACCTGGACTTCGAACCTGGGGGAATACTCACATTATTAATTCATCTTCATCTATATTCTTTTTGGTGACAATACCACAACCAACATGCCACATGGCAACACTATTGCGTTGACATTTTTTATGTGCTGGCAAGTAGAATATTCGTGCACCATCGTAGACAGCATTACCGCTTACCATCAGGCGAGATAGTGGTCATACGTTGGGCCACCTATATACAGTGTGTTAGGTTAAACGAGGGACTTACTGAGCGAGGGTATTCAGTATTCGATACTCGTCCTGTCCTGTCGTGTAAAATACATCATCATGAGCAATTTTGAGGCAATTGTCCAATAAAATACATCATTATGAAAATAGAAACAGTACTTACATAAAATAAGTCACGTTGCAAATCACGCGCCGATCTTGCCGAAAAGGATAGAGCGCGCGTAAGCCAAGTCGTAATCCGTAAGCGTAAGCGTTTTTATGGTTCTGTCTGTTATTTATTAGTGTTTATGTTTCGTTTATATGTTTGTTAGGTTCATGTGAGTATACACTATTGAGGGTTTGAATATGTCCCTCATTTAACCTAATATACTGTATACACTAAATACTCACGGCAGGGCATGCGCGGCGGGGACGGCCCGCAGCCAGCGCGCGGCGGCGGCCAGCAGGCGCGCGCCCGCCTCGCAGACGGCGTGCAGGCGCAGGTGCGGCGGCGCGGGGCCCGGCAGCGACACGCACAGCTGCACTGACTCTGGAGTGCTCAGGATGCCCTGCCCTGATTCCACTGGGAAATAGAGGAAATACATTCTATAATGCTTTAAATTTCAGATATTGGACTATTTTATTTATGGGATAAGCCAGTAAACGAGCAGACGGATCAGCTAATGGTAACCAATCAGCGTCACCTACGGACACCTGGAACACCAGAGGCGTTACAAGTGCGTTACCGGCCTTTTGGAGACTAGGAATTCAGAGATAAGAGAGATTGGGGAAGGGGAGGATAGTTTAGCTTTATGAACTTTATGAAATGAAACCGTACAAAAACTACCCCCAAATTTATCAGTATGTAACATCTCATTCAAAAAGGTTTTTGATGATGATGATGCAAAGTCGCGAAACGTCTTTATATTAGTAATAAAATAAAATCAGCTGATGATAAGATAATACAAGACTAAAATATGGTGTCATTTTATGGGGGAATAGTACCGATGCACCATCATTATTCACCATCCAAAAAAAGCTTGTGAGAATACTGGTCAACATAGATGAAACTGAAAGTTGCCGGCCTCACTTTAGACAACTGGAGGTGTTGACTTTGTCTTGTCTTTAAATATTTGAAATTTGTAAATTTGTACGCCAATATCCTGAATTCTACACAAAACGAGAAGAAATACAGAACAGATTCACTCTAAGACATAGAAACAGAATAAACATGCCAATTTCACGACTTAAAATGCATTCGTCAGGTACACATGTAATGTCAATAAAGGTATATAATAAACTACCGGAACACTTGAAGAATATTAACAAACATAATAGTAGGGGAGCCCATGAAGGGATTTCGGTGGTTACTCGAGCGCGTCAGATTAACATATGGGGAAAAACTAGTGTCCTGTTGAATATACCCACCATATATCCGATCTGATTAGAAAGGGGGGACTAAAAATTAAAAAAAAAGTCTGACTAAATAAAGTCAGTTTCGTCAGATTAAGGGAAGGTAGGTCAATGCCATGCTAAAGGAAGTGTATTTAAAAAATGTGCCCATTCCAACTTGATTTGCAAGAGTGGGGGGATTTTGAAGGGTTCTCGTTGGTACTCTCCAGATCATTCAACTCCACCATGCAAACTGGCAGATTAAGAGTTTTTTATTATCAAAGACACATGAAGCATGTACATTATCAATATCTGACACGCTCGACCACTAGAACAAAAGTTACGCGTAACAGATTCAAAGATCTGTGGATTCCCCCTTCCCCCACCGGTGTAAGAAATTGTCACTAAACCATTTTTTCTTTCTATCACCATATTTTTAAAATCCAGTAAGTTCCAACGACGCTCGAGTAAATCCAAATTTAGCATCGTGGGCTCCCCTACTATAACATATTTACAAATAAATTAAAGCTATTTCTATTAGACAGAGGGTATTATACAATAGATGAATACATGAATGACAAAATGCAATAAATTTTAGAGTACCTGCTACTTGAATTATATTATATTATTGATGTGACATTGTTTTTTGTGGATGAGTTTTGTTTTAATGTATGTTGACTTTCCTTTGAACTTGACTTATCATACCTATTGATTATTTTAATTTAATTATGATTGTTTAAATTTGATTTAGGTATCATTGTAATTATTGACTTACCAAGAATTTTAATATGACATTTTATTTTAGTAATTATCATTTTTATTTTGACTTTAATTATCTTTATCATAACAAATGTTGCTGTGCCCTTACAGGGTCCATAAATGTACTTAGCTTTAAGCCTATTGTAACACCTTAATCACTTTATGGTACGCAAATAAATGAATATGAATATGAATAATGAAAGTAAATTAAAAACATATATTAAGCACGAATTATATAATCAAGCTTACTACAAACTGACAGATTATTTTGAAGATAAGAATGCTTGGCAGCATGTTGGTTCGGCTCCACTGGACAATACTCAAATGTAGTCAGTAGTTAGATTCCAATAGTAAGCAATTTAATACTTTAATTCTAATGTAGACAATCTAGTTTCCTTATGACATTGAGCATTTCTTTCTTTATTGAAACAAAGAGTTTCCTTTTTCTTATATAGAAGCGAGCATCATCATGATGTTAGACTATAATTTTTTTGTTTTGTTTTTTTTTTTACATTTATTTTAGTAAGTTTTGTAATTAGTTTAATGCGTCAAGCGTGTCTTTGCATTGTTCTTACATATACGTACACATAGTATTGGAATATGTATCAGAGACATTGTAGAACATACTTTTTTAAAAAAGAATAACGAATGGAGTTACTTGCTCGTTCTTCTCCATTCGAATCTACATTTTGGAATGAGCACCTAGCTTCACCTAGCTTTACTGACGTACGAATAGACAGAGTATTATTTATTTTGTATTTGTTGATGTTTTAAAAATACCTAATTATAGTTTAATTGAAATAAATGCTTTGACTTTGACTTTGAGCCTCCGGTAACTTCACTCACAAGACGAAACACAACGCAAGCGTTGGTTCACGTCGGTTTTCTGAAAACAACAGCTCCGATCGAGCCGACCCGTTCATGCCGAAGCATAGCTCTCCCATCCCACACTAAAAATATCCGCCTTGTAGATAACTTTACAATAATGGAATATTATTATTTTGCAAAATCTAATTATTTGTTTTGTGCATTGCATGACATCACACAAGTATGTTTAATACGTAACAATGACTTGGCAAATGATTTCTATAAAATTTCACCAAAACAAGAAATCCGTATTTAAATTATCTGATTAAAACTTTATTACATTTAAACCTTGAATTACCATTAGTTCGCATGAATTTTAAACACAAACGTATTTTATTGCTCCAACAACTACATAAATAATAATCATAATATTTAAACATCTTCTACTATTATATAAAGCGGAAGAGTTTGTTTTTTTGTTTGTTTGTTTGAACGCGCTAAATGTCCGTAACTACAACTCTGATTTGAATAATTCTTTATGTGTTGGATAGCGCATTTATCGAGGATGGCTATAGGCTATAAAACATCACGCTCCGACCAATAGGAGCTGAGCAGAGCGTGTGAAACCGCGCGGATATAATAAGTAATAAATAGTAAATAATAATCATGATATAGTGAAACTTGGTTAAGTGGGACCTGGATAAGTGAGAAACGTCCATAACTGGAACTCACGTTGAGGTCCCAACACTTTGGCACTGAATTACCTCTGTTAGTGGGACGAGGTAAATCTCTATATCTGGGATTTGTTCTTTCGATTTATCATCATAGTTACCTCTATAACTGAGACAGCGAGTAAATTTTATATGCGTAAACCTTTGTAACTGAGATAACATTGTTTGTTTACTCAATCTTATTCTACCTACAAATTCCACACGTAATTCCAAGTCCACCTGTATTAATGGAACCCTCTGTAAATGAGACAGATATTTATTTATATCTGTATATCTTAGACACTGGGGAAATGGAATACCTCTATAAGTGAAACGACATTGCAGATCCCTTGATGTCTCACTTAACCAGGTTTCACTGTATTTAAGTTAGTCATAATAACTACATACCGTCATTGGGTTGTGTGTCCGCGGCGTGTAGTGCCGCGAGGGGCCCCTCGGCCGGACTCGCGCCGTACGCAGACTGCAGGTACTCGTTGATTGCACCTGGGGCACACAGTACTTCTAATTCATTTATGTGCTGGTAAAACTTAGCAGCTTTACAGCTGGAATAAACTGAAAAATCACCTTTTCGCCGCAAAAAGGTGGTTTTTGGCCAATCAAAGGGTTAACCCTCTTCACTCCATCCCCAATCCCCAAATCTCTCAATCCTTACATTCCTAATCCCCAAAAGGCTGACAGCGTTCTTGTAACTCCTTTGGTGTTCGGGGTGTCCAAGGGCGGCGCCGATTGCTTACCATCAGGTGATCCATCTGCTCGTTTACCTTACTATTCCATTAACACATCTTATGACTTACCGAACTGTCCCATCTTGAAGAGATTCTTGGCGAGCTGTGTTTGCAGCATGAGCTGTTGTCTGCGAGCTCCCTCGATGTCACCAGCGTTGCCCGGAGTCAGGTACGGCGACACTAAGAGAAGGAGTAAAGAAATATTAGTTTAATTTTGGTATATTATTACAAATTTGTTCAATATTTATGCCATATTTTATACTGTTTTATTGTAAGTTCATAGAATAACCGTGGTGGTTATTGTTGTAGTACCTGGGTTACCCTTGTTGAATGCTACGGCGGCAGCGAGGGCAAAGTTGATGGCAGGCGCCGGGGACACCGCGCCGAACGCATCGCTAGGCTCCTCCTTAGGGTTTATCTGTAAAATAATATACATTTATATTATGTAAAATAATATACATTTATATTATTTTATTGTTACAATGTTTAGTATTGTTAAGTGGCTTTATCTACAACTTCGAAGAATATTTTAAAGAAATTATAAAAAGCCTGTCTGTAGCTGTGGGACACCTATAAATAAGAGCGTTTGCCAGTCGCTATGTTGTGGGATGAAGATTACGGTTTTTTCAAATATATAGACCTTGTCGGCTCTACGACACCCGCATGTATAGTTAAGGCACCAACAGGGGTGGTGAGTGAAATAATTCTACCAAACATTCATAGGACAAAATATAGAAAAGATTATTGTGCTCACCTGTCCGGCTTGTCCCTGGCCAGCTAGTCCCAGGAACTTGGAGTAAGCAGCCTGTCTGTCGTGGATGGCCTCCCTCTGTTCGCCCTTAGACTTGTCCACGATCGGCTTGCGTTCGTGCTGGACCGCTGTCGCATACAGTGCAAGAATTATTGCTCATCAGAATACTTACTATACATATTTACACATTTTTTATGTTGTTAAGTTTGATATCAGAATGAAATGATCAATTGTCAAATTTTTTTGAATTACGTAGTAACATTTTGAACCTAACTGATGCAAATTTAATTTTGAAATGTGAACTACTTACTTTAGTTGTGTAAAAAAATGTAGTTTTGACCTACAATCAAGCTTCTTTAGTCCAAATGTTTAGCTGTCATTATTACATTATACATGTTTCCTCACATCATCCAAAAAGTACAAAAACAGTAATTAGATTAGATCTCATTTCCCAATTAAAAAAGTACGTGTATCAAAGACTGCCTCCTTGGCCGAGTGGTCGCAAGTGCGACTGCCGGGCATGGGGTATCGGGTTCGATTCCTGGGCAAAGCACTACTGCGTTTTAAAAAAATTCACAGTAGTAGCACGGAGTCTGGAATTGTGCCCAGTATATGGCAATAGGCTCACCCCCTATTACATGGGACTCATAACATAAATAGTGAAAAGTGGGTGTTACATTGTACAGTGACATAATGTACAGCTCTGCCTACCCCTTCAGGGACAAAAGGCGTGATTTTATGTGTATCAAAGATACTCACAGTCGCTTCTCATGCCGCAAGCGAGACATTTTTGCAGACGACAGTACTGGCAGCGGTTGCGATGGTGTTTGGTGACTTCACAGTTCATGCTGCCGCGGCACTGGTAGCCTAGCTTCTTGCGTATTGAGCGCTTGAAGAAACCTTTGCAGCCTGATGGAAAGAAATTAAAGATTAGGTCTTGTTTAAAGAGATGTTTGATATTCACTTGGTGATCATCAAGTATCTTAGATCTAGCAGACATATGTCAAACACAGTAGTAGCTAAATGTAATAACACAGATTAGTGCGCCAAGCAGGTAAAACATGGACCGTAAAAGTGTCTGAGATATGATAACCTTAAAAAGTTAAACAAATATGGCCAGGGCTTCTAGCCAAACGCCACTTTAGCGCTTGTCTACAGAGAGAGTAGAAATCAAAATGTATGGGGATGACACTGACAAGTGTCAAAATTCACGTCAATTCCATATAATTTGGTTTTCTATTCTACATGTAAACAAGCGCTAAGTGGCATTTGGCTACAGCTGCTGTTGAGACCAGAAAAATAACATTACAAACATCAAATGACTTTTATGATGTTCAATAGGATTAAAAAATCAGTTATATCAGTTGGTTCTTATTAATCTTTGTATGTGTATGTCACACATTTGCAACCTAATTCGAACCTACCTTCACAGCTGATGGCTCCATAGTGTCTTCCGGAGGCCCTGTCTCCGCACACAATACACAGCTCCAGTCCCCCAACCTCACTGCTCCCACTGAACTTCAGCTCCATCTGATCTTGACCTTCCATTGTAACTGGGGACATGAAATGAAATGAAATGAAATCGTTTATTTGTAAACATAGGTTATATAAAGTTGTTTGAATGATTGACATACAATGCAATACAGCGAGTCCGTCTATGTTTTGCCTTAAAGCATACAAATTCATATGAGTTTTAGTAAATGGATTAATTTAAATTAGAAAACAGAAATACATTAATAGTCATTTAAGTATCTACACAGGAATAAGACATTTATTATGGGGGTTAAACCACTGAACCATCGTCATCAGTCATATCATGAGCTTTAATCCCTAATGCGAAATGTCATAATTTAATTAAGGAATATAATAATATGGGATGTCATGATAAGCACAAAATTACATAGAATCCAATGTCAGTATGTATCAAAATTTAAGTGGTCAAATTAAAAGGAAAATTAAGAGTATAGAATGTCATATGTACGTTCGACATAGCCAAATCTATGGTTAATCTGATTAGAATCACCCAAGATAGTCAGGGTTGGTTACATTTTTTGAAAAAACCAAAAATTTACATATATTGCAAATCGGATATAGCAGGTCTAGCATCTTTCATCTAAATAGTCATTAATTTTATAATAGCACTTAGTTACCAAAAATTCATGTAGTCGTTTTTTAAATATATTAATATTGTCAATTTCTATTATGTCTTTAGGTAACTTATTAAAGATTTTGGGTGCCATACCTAAAATGTTTTTGTTGAAGATGGCTTTCTTATGTTGTGTAGCGCAGATCCTATATTTATGACGTTTACTTTTTGGGTGGGTGTACAAGTGGATGTTAGTTTTTACGTAGCTGGCAACCTCAAATATGTAAAGGGAGGGCAGAGTTAATAGTTTTAGTTCTTTAAAATATGGTTTGCAGCTGACTGTGCTTTGTATACCACATATTGCCCTGATGCATTTCTTCTGTGATTTGAACGCCATTTCTCTATCCGGCGAATTTCCCCAGAACAGAAGCCCGTATCGCAATGTTGACGAAACATAGCCGTGGTACGCCGTGATTAATGTTTCCTGATTTGCCACTTTTTTTAAGTTGTATAGCGCGAAGGAGGATTGGCTAAGTTTTTTGCAAACACTATCAATGTGGGATTTCCAATTTAGGTTCTTATCGATCCAGATACCCAAGAATTTAGCATGGTCAGTCTCTTCAATATTTTTCCCGTCATATCCTACGTGAATCCTGTTACCACTAATTCTTTGTGCAAATGATATGTAAGTTGTTTTCTCTAGATTAATTTTCAATTTATTTGCAGTTAGCCAGGTTATGATGTCGTTTAAGTTATCATTAATTTCTTTTTCAAAGGTCTCGTCATTATTATTTTTAAACAGTATAGTGCTATCGTCCGCGAATAAGATCATGGGATTGGTGATTATTCTAGGCATGTCATTTATGTAAATTATAAATAGTAGTGGTGCGAGGACACTACCCTGTGGCACCCCGCATAAACATTTCCGATATTTAGAAGTGTGCGTTATTTCAGTTTTTGTGTAGGGACAGATTTTTTTAATACATGTGTATTGTTGCCTGTTTGTAAGATAGGACTTAATAAGCTCATGAGTGTTGCCTCTAATGCCATATTTTTCTAACTTCATCAGTAGGATTTCATGACTAACATGATCGAAGGCCTTAGTCATATCCATAAGCAATGCAACCATGGGAATTTTCTTGTCCATGTTCGTAAGGGCGCACTCCACTAGCTCATAGATAGCTGAATTTATGCTTTTATTTTTTCTGAAACCATATTGTTCTCTTATTATAAGTTTGTTAGCTTCTAGAAAGTAATATATGTTTTTTTGAATTATTTTTTCAAATATTTTAGAGAATACTGGGATAAGTGCTATTGGTCTATAATTATTAGGGTCGAGTTTGTCACCTTTCTTAAATATTGGTATAATTACTGAGGTTTTCAGTTTTTCTGGGAATATGCCTTTCTCGATGCAATTATTGATGATGTGACTGAGTACCGGTGCAATAATAGCAGAGGTAGCTTTAATTACCTTGGTGGATATATCATCATATCCAACACTATTGGTATTTTTTAATGAATTTATTGTTTTTATAATGTCATCAGGTATTGTGGGTATCATGAATATAGAATTAGAATTCGTGTTAAATGTCAATATATTTTTATAGTTAATGTCATTGTGAGAATCATTTTGATTCTGAAAATGTTGGTTAAACGATTCTGATATTTGTCCTGGATTAGTAATAACTTTATTGTCAATTTTTATCTGGTTAATTCCTACATTTGGATTATTTTCCTTCTGTTTATTAATAATGTTCCACGTAGCCTTACTCTTGTTTTCGGAAAGATTTATAAAGTGATTATTTTGTACTTTTTGTGTTTGCTTAATTATCAGCTTCAATCTCTTTGTATATAGTTTTAGTTTAATTTTGTTGTTTAAGCTAGGTGATTTTCGATATTCCCACAGCATGTCTCTTTTTCGCTTAGAGCATTTTTTGATTCCCGCTGTTATCCACTTTGGTTTTTTTGTTACTGAGATCCTTATTTTATTGATCGGAAAGCACAAATTATAAAATAGTTTATATATGTCGTAGAACTCATTAAATGCATCATTAGGTTCGTGGCTCATAAATGCTTCGCAAAAAGTTATATTTTGAATGCATTCGTAGAATTTTTTCATATTTTCGTCACTAAAGTCGCGTTTATATATAAACCAGTGTGATAGTACGCATGTTTTTTTGACCCTACACGTTAAGAGTTGAGCTGTGTGGTCAGATATAGCTAATTCCTTGATCTCACATCTGCTACCCCTCACATTATGGATAATGTTGTCGATGCAGGTTCCGCTACATAGGCGTGTCGGTGATCGAGTGCCCAGAATGAGGTTATAGCTTCGCAATACATTTAGGAAGGTGCTAGAGGTTCTATTTGTTCTAGAAATATCAATATTAAAGTCTCCGCAGAGTACTATCCTATTATTCCGCTTATGCAAAATTTCGTTTAACATTGTATCAAGATTAATTAAAAACGTATCAAACTTATTTTTGTTGTAGCTTGGAGGTCTATAAATGCATATAACTGTGATCAAGTGGGAAATAAGTTTTATCGCACAGCATTCTATTACATGGGGTATAGTCCATTTTTTTAAGTTGACTACCTCAAAATTTTGTGAGTTTTAGACTAAAATGCACGAGCCTCCGTTTCTATCGTTTCTGTCGTAGGAAGTTGCCAGTGTGTAATTGGGGATGTGTAAGTGTTGATGGTCACCTGTCTTCATGTTGTGCTCTGTAATACATATGACATGTAACATAAATTATGAATGAATCTCGATGTTATTACTTTTAGTTTGAGGAGGAACTGCAACACAACAATATGTCCATTATCGGAACAGGTCCACTCAAACTTGTTTGATTAATTCTTAAAAAGACCTCTACAGAATAAACTTGATCATACTGTATAGATTTTTAACAAAATTGCTGAGTTTATTTCGGTGCTTAATCTTAGAATATTCCCATAGAAAATTAATCATCTTATTCTTGTGTTTTGTACCATATTTAGATGTGAAAGAAATCCTTACAATTACTTTTAATATTAGTCAGATAGTAGTACGAGATATTGATAATTCCTTACTTATTATGAAGAGCTAAGTAAATCAGAAGTAACACCAACACCAATTAACACTGGGGATCATCATAATTATGATATTAATATCTGGGGATATCAATGATCTTTTTGTTTAAAACTCATTGTGGAATTGATGTGTGTGGTGATTTTATTACGTCCAGCAGTACACGTTATAAGGAAGAAATGTTACTTAAAGTCATTTCCGCAAAAAGTGCAAACCTCAAGGGCAGAAATGGCCATAAAATATGGGATCACTGTTTTATTACTGATTCAGTATCTTGTATTGTTGACGTGTTATTAATGTGCTTCTAGACTTGGGCACAGGAAGGATATCCATGAGAAAGCATACATGACCATACGCATCAATGCATGTGATAAAAAAACCACAACTGTTGACCATACCTTTCACTTTTGAGAGTAATTCCGAGCGTGGTATTTTTAACATTTCTCAAATTGTTAATTTATACTACAACGCGAAAAAGTGAAGTCATCGCTTCTTCTTAGGTGTTATTTATGAGATCTAAACAAAGCAGAGGGCAAGCTACGGTCACTGAAGTGAAAAATCTATTCATAAGCCACAAATACAGTTAGATACACGATCGGACTTACCTTGTGTTTTTCTTTAAAGATGCTTCTTTATATCACATTTATTGCAGCTATCTATAGATAAGATGCAGATCTAAAACACACACCATTTACGATTTATTATGATTTTTTTCTATTTTATCATCACGAATTCAACGATACACAATGAAAATAAATAGAAAAATAATGAATGATAGGAATGAATGACAGAATGTAATGACAGAGATTCATAGACCATAGCCATAGACAAGACTGTATGATGGTTCAGTTAGAAAGAAGGGTGTTATTTATACAATCTGTGGTTTTTGTTGTGCACATAATGGCACCGTTGCAAAAAGACATGTGTTCACGTGATAGGACTACTGTCAAAATTGTCATTCACGAAAAAAACAATACCGCGTGTGATTTTGTTGTAGTCAAGAGGTGCTGTACATTTATTTTCATGTGAAATTTAAATAAATATAATTAATATCCATTGTTTTCAACTGAAAACAACCATGGCGTGTCCAGTACTGGAAGATATAACTGGTAAATTCAACAGTTTCACAGAGAAACCTGTTAAATTTCTCGCTGTGCAAAGTGACCTCAAAGATGATATTAAAAACTTGGTTAAATCACTTTATGATTATACGAAAACTCAAGAAACTATCGATAAAAAGGTGAAGAAGGCTGCGCTGCCGGAGATGATAGTTCAAGACTTCGACGAGGAACAGATATGGCAACAAATAGAACTTCAAAACACCGAATGTTGGGACCAGCTTGTATGGGATGTAGCTAATTGTATGTCCAGTAAAACTAACTTAGACTTCCCTGTTACGACTTCTAATGAAGAAAGTAACGAGAAAAATAATTTAGATAGCGATAAATTAATATCTGAAGATGAGGAACACTCAGAATCAGAGAAATCTGATGAAAACGATGATGAAAACGAAATTAATGAGAAACCTAAGAAAAAGAAAACAGCTCCAAAATCTAAGGGTAAGACTTCAATAGTTGATGATCAGTTCTTCAAACTACAAGAAATGGAGAAATTTCTATTAAATGAAGAAAGAAATGAAGGTAAGAAATCTCGGGAAGATGACAGCGATGAGGAATCCATTGATATGTTTAATGACATTGATGATGATGATGGTTCTCATGATGAGGAAGGTGGTAAAGAGGCCATGTACTCCGATTTTTTCAACCAGGATGAAGAAAATGAGGATGAGTATGATAACGGTGAAGTTGATGAAAATGGAGAGATGTATGATGATCAAGTTGATGATGAAATGGATGCTGAAGAAGATGATCAGTCAGATGTAGAGCCTCCCAAAAAAGATAATAAGAAAAAAGTTAAGTTCGCATTAGCAGACTCATCTTCCGATGATGATGATGAATCTGTAGATAGTGACACATCTACAAACAACAACAAAATACAACCAGATGAAAAGAAATCAGAATTTGAACAACGACAGCTACGTTTAAAACAACAGATAGAAAAATTAGAACAGAAAACCTTGTCAGAAGCTCCGTGGCAGTTGAAAGGTGAAGTAGACGCTTTGAAACGTCCGCAAAACTCGCTCCTTGAAGAAGTAGTAGACTTTGACCTTACTAGTAGACCCCCACCTATAATAACAGAGCAGACTACAGTCACGTTAGAAGAACTCATCAGGCGCAGGATAAAAGACAAAGCTTGGGATGATGTTGAGAAGAAAGAAAAACCAGTAGATGACCAACTTTCATTCCGGAAGGAAGTAGTACTAGATCATGCTAAGAGCAAATTAAGTTTAGCTCAGGTATATGAAGCTGAATATTTAAAACAAAAGCAGGCAGCATCCGGTGAAGTTGAAGAAGAGAAAGAACCAGAAGCTCACACCGAAATTCGCAACACAATGAATAAGTTATTCGCAAAATTAGATGCGTTATGTCACTACCACTACACACCAAAAGCACCACAAGCCGAAGTTAAGATTGTGAGCAACACACCAGCTATATCAATGGAAGAAGTGGCTCCGGTTGCCACAAGTGATGCAACATTATTAGCTCCTGAGGAAGTGAAGAGGAAGCGTAAAGGAGAACTGATGAGCAAAGAAGAACGAACACAGACTGACAAGAATAGAGAAAGAAGGAAAAAGAAGAAATTACAACGCCAGAAAGGAAAAGTGGCAAAGGTGACAGAACATAGGAATACTGAGAAAGGTGCCGTAGCAACCTGTCCGAAGACGTCCAAGGCATTCTTCGAGCAGTTAACGAATGATTCTCGAAGTTTAATTAAGAAAAATAATGTAAAAAGTAAAGGACAATAAGAATAAATGTTTTGTTTTTGTTGATATTGTTTATTTTATTTCTTTCTATGTTATATTAAAACCACAGAAATATTAAAAAGAAAAGAAAAGAAGACTTCTTTGTTATTATATCTATGATTGAAACACTTGAACATAAATCTGATTTGCCTGTGTAGTTACATCCAACAATTTACCCTGTTGATATGATGCAGCACACAAGTTTTTAAATCAATAGTAACGTCAAACTGAAAACTGTTTACCTACAACAATATCCCATTTTTTTTTAAATTGTTGCCCACTCTTTTATTTTACTCCTATATGATCGTGGGTGCGTTTACGTTTCTACAAGCTGCGTGCGTTTACATGTGTATGTGAACTTGTATGTTTACACAAGTTCACATACACACACATGACACCCAGACCCGAAACAAAAATTTGTGGATCACACAAAGAGTTGTTCCGTCGAACCCGCGACACGTTGCGCGGCAGTCGGTTGCCCAGCCACCGCACCAACCGTGCATTCGAGGCTTAATCCAAAGGTTAAATGTTCTGTTGTATAAGTGCAATAGTAATTACGAACATATTATATAAAATAAACGACTAAAACACAACAAAAACTTTATCGTAGACCCGAAATACATTTGAAAGTACGAAATTAAAAAAACACGAAGTTCCTACAAAAAAATTCATAGCAATTTGTAGTAAGCGCAACTGTGGTGGCGGTCGCAATATTAGGCGGTTCTCAGTTTAGGGAACTGTTACGGGAGTGAACTGAGTGGAACGTGTACAAATTACATTAAACTAAAAACTATATTATATCTACAACTAAAGTAAAATTTGTTCCTTATGGTGACGGTAGAAAATTACACATTTGTTACCCTTCGCCTTTTTTTGAGGGGGAAAATCATCCAATGACTTCTCCTGCCCGGGTAAGGCGGAAGGGAGTGTCAGACTTTTACTGACTAAAAACCACCACGTTCCTGCACTTTAAGCCGGAGCCCCGGCAACCCGTTATGTCTTCCGCGGCTCCGTATCGGCATCAGCCCTCCCCATCTGTGGTGGTTTGAGGATGAAAGAAGAAGGGATTGCACATATTTTGACAGAGGCTGGGCAGCAGGGCTTTTTGTTAAGTCTGAACTGATATCTTCAATCTGTCCGCCAAGTGTGGCATATGATAAGTACAGATAAAAGTAAAGAAGGCCCATAATGTGGCAGTGGGCTGTCACGGGCGGTTGACATATTATGTAAATTGATAATTCATAAATCTATATAAATAAAAATGAATTTCTGTTTGCTAGTCTCGCTAAAACTCGAGAACGAACCGATTTGGCTAATCCTGGCCTTGAAATGTTCATGGAAATAACGAACTACAGGGAAGGTTAGAAGGTAAGAAAAACATATTTTAGGTGGTACGAAGTTTGTCAGGTCAGCTAGTCTATTTAGATAAATAAAAATGAATTTTCGTCCATCCTGCTAAAACTCAAGAACAACAGAGCAGGTATGGCTAATTTAACTCTTGAAATGTTCAGGAAAAATATAAACTTGTATGCGTATAAATTTGTAAAAGTGAGAAAAAAACTCGTAGGCGGTATGAAGTTGCTGGGCGCGGCTAGTTAAAAATAAAATTAAAGTTTTTATTTAAAAAAATCAAAATTACAATACCTACACCTTACTAACGGCCATTTTCTATAACCTATCTATCTGTAGATTTGCACTGAGATATATTTTGATAAGTATTTTGTATGGAGCTTATAATATGTCAAAATTCTATCTCAGTAAGGAAATCTACAGATAGATAGGTTATAAGACAATGGCCGTAAATGAACCGTAGATTAAACTTGAACAAGCATTTATTTATCATAACATAACATAACATCACGCCTTTTATCCCCGGAGGGGTAGGCATAGGAGCACATTATGCCACTGTACAATCAAACACCCACGTTTCACTATTTTTTTTATATGGAATAGGAGGCAAACGAGCAGACGGATCACCTGGTGGTAAGCGATCAGCGCCGCCCAATGCCCATGGACACCCGCACCAGATGTTATGAGTCCCATGTAATATCCTTCTATCATTCATATCATTTATTTATCCTTCGAAACAAATCAGATACAGGAATCTAAGTCCTAAATTCTTAAAAGAACAGTACTTCGAGCTATCTACAAGTAGGAAGTAGGTATCCCGACCCGACCACAATAGCAAGTGTGCTTAGGCATTTAACATTTGTAGTCTAAATGTAAAAAGTAACGGGCGCGCGTTATGTAACTTTCAGTCGGCGGCTAAATGCAATAGCTGGCGTGAAGGTATGAAGTCATGTTTGTGCTGTTGGATGAGTAAACTCGTAGGTCCCTCTCAGATGAAAGGGAACAAAGGATATTACGTAGATACATACTTATAGGTCATAGATTGCCTTAGATTAGGTCACGTTAGTTAACGAAAAGATAGAGGCAAATTAGTGTTGACCACCCCGTTCACCCATTAATTCCTCCGCGGCTCCGTATCGGCATCAGAACTATTGAGCCCCATCTGTGGTAGTCTGATGTTAGGTACACTCTTAGGGAGACCCTAATACACGAATAAACGATATCAATTTAAACTGTCAAACACCAAGCGGTCACCGGTGACCGCAACCTATTGTTCTATAATTTTGTCTACAAAACCGGTACTCGACGAGTTAAAATCTTATTCCATTCCTAGATTTTTTAATTTTCTTCCGAGCTTGCTTGAAAAGACTGATGACTGTCGATGAAGCGAAAGAGGTATGTAAGAATCGATGCTATTGGCGTTCCATAGTCTCTGCCTACCCCCATGGGAGACAGGCGTGAAGTTATGTATGTATGTAATATATGTCTTTTAAAAACTTACACCGATTCGAAGATTTTGAGTCAAGTCAAGTCTCAATGCTAGTTTTGTTTATACATTTTTGTTTGATAGGCCAACGCGAC